GGCTATGAAGACTTGGGGGGGACAAGGACAGCCTTCCTCTGGCCATGGGAGCCCAGCTGCTGGCCTGTAACCAGCTGCTCACATCCCCCACTTGTTCCTCCCCACTTACAGTCTGTCATTAAGCCCAAGTGGGGCCCAGGGAGAGCCCTGAGTCATCAAGTGGCTGGCTGCTAGAGGAGAGAGGGTAGGTATGGCATGGTCCCGCCCCTGCACCTGTCTGTCAATGCTGATTCTTTCCTCACACTTAGGCGCCAGCCGCCACCTCATCTAGCCAGACTCCACCAGACCAAGGAGCTTGGGCGAAGGTGGGAGGATGGGGTGGGCCCTCAGAAGACTCCTCCACCTGAGTCTTGACACTCCAGCCTTGTATCTGCAAGGATGCACCAAGCAGAGAGGTTTAGGGCACGAGGTTTGGAGCTGACAGGTCTGAGTCTAAAACCAGGTTCTTCCACTTATTTGGGGAAAGTTGCTTCTTCTCTCTGAATACGTATATAATTCAAAACTGGGATGAGTGCTGTTGGGAAAATGGGGAACACATAATGAGAGTGTGGCCTCATCTGAGAGATCAGGGAGGGTATCCCTGAGACAGAGAGAGAGACGCTTGAATGAAGGATGAGTAGGAGTGTCTGAGTCTAAAACCAGGTTCTTCCACTTATTTGGGGAAAGTTGCTTCTTCTCTCTGAATACGTATATAATTCAAAACTGGGATGAGTGCTGTTGGGAAAATGGGGAACACATAATGAGAGTGTGGCCTCATCTGAGAGATCAGGGAGGGTATCCCTGAGACAGAGAGAGAGACGCTTGAATGAAGGATGAGTTACAGCCAGGAGAAGAGCATCTTGGGGGAGGAACAGACAGCATGTGCCAATGTCCCGAGATGAGAAGGAGCAATGTGACTGCCAGGGCAGAATGCCAGTGCGACTAAGGGCAGTGGGTTGGGTCAACCAAAAGATTTTGGTGGCAAAAAGTAGTTCTGACCTCATGAGGGTGTTGTAAGGATTAAGAGCTAATGTTGTAAAGCTGTTGGTGTCGGTCATTGTCCTGACTGTCCCTGGCATTGTGTCTGCCCCCTGACTTGCCCTTGGACCATATGGACAACTTGTGTTCTCAGCCCTCTTGCCTATTATCAGTCCATCCCTGTCGTCTGTTGAGCCACCATTAAAATCAAAGACTTGTGTGAAGTGGGGCTGAGAGGTTAAAGGACAAAGTTAAAGGACTGTGATTTTCCATCAAGGACCCTCCAGTGCTCCAGGCAAGACCCTCATTTTGCCGCCCTGTCATATTTTCTCTACACAGTCATTTTATGAGGCAGGGACTAATTTTCAAATTGTTTTTTACAGGTGAGCAAGTTGAGGCTCAGAGAGGTTAAGTATCTTGGGCACAGTCACAGAGCTAAACAAACAGCAGATGGAGCAGGGTTTGTCCTGTAGTGAGTAGGAGCCAAGATGGACGCAAAGCTCAGGCTCCTTCTGTTCATCCCCAGCCTCACACACTTTCTGGGTCCCTTTCTGCATTTCTCCTCATTTTGTCTCTCTCCTTGTTCAGTCTGCCTCAATTCGGCCCTAGGTTCAGCCACACCTAGAACAGTAAGCTTCAAAAAATGTGTGAGTAAGTGAGTGAGTGAATGAATGAATGAATGATCCTCACTGCCTAGTCCTAGCCCAGGGCCTTCACCATCTTCTTTCTCTGCCTCTCTCTCTCTCTCTCTCTCTCTCTCCATTTGTTTTTATCTCTCTATCTCATTTTGCCCTTTCTCTCATGCTGAGTCACCCCAAAGTTATCAGGGTTTCTCAAAGGAAAAAGGTTTCCTTTCTCAGCCCCGGCCCCACGCAGGTGATGTTGCACAGAGAAACCACTGTGATGGCCCAGCAAAGGGCAGGTCCTCAGAGCTGGTGCCTGTCCTGTGTCTCTGGGCTTAGGGCCTCATTGGGGCACCTTCTCTGACAGCAACCTGTAGGACTAGTTGGCTGAATTACTCAAACCCGGTCATCAGTGGCCTTGGGGAAGACCATTCACCTGATCAGGTAACCATAGAGACATATGCCACTTGTTGCCTGTAAAATTCCCTGGCCATATTTGAAGTCCTTCCATAAGAAAAAGAGCCCCCAAAACTAGAAGGCACCCAGAATTTCAAGGTGGGTCCCCTCCCATAAAACAAAAAAACCTTAGAGTCAGCTAAGAAGAATCCACGCTGATCTTATCAGACTCTCATCTCCATCCCATCCCTGAAAGAGAACAGAACAGGAATGAAGCACAAGCCTGATCAGGGACTGGGAGCCCAAGCATGGGGCCCGGCACTTTCAGTCTGTAGGACGTGGAACAGGCCGCTGTCCCCCAGAAATGAGGAGGCTGGAGGAGATGTCTCTGTGGCCCTCCCAGCACTACCCTTCTTCATTCTGAGAGGGCGAGGTGAGGATCGCTCCACCCACATTGCACTAGAGGAAGTGCAGCCAGAGGGGCCATGCGACCCACCCAGGACTCTGAAAGACAATTCCTCCCGCTTCCACTAGTCTGTGCTGTGGAGTCGCTTTCCTGGTTTCTCACGGATTAGATCTGGGGTAAAGGTGAGGAGGCAGTCTTGCCGTTGTCAGAGTGGCTGGCCCAGGTCTTACTTGTGTGCTCGTGGCACCAGGCCCTGTGGATGAGAGCACTGGCCAGCAACAGGACCCAAAGTGTCCACTCCACTCTTCCCAATGGGGCATGGTGCTGGGGGCACCCCAGAGGGGAGGAGACCCCATGTGGAACTATGGAACAGCTACTCTGTCTGATCTTTCTTCTAGGACCAAGCCACACAGGGCGGGATCACCTCGAAGCTCACTGCTTGACTCCCTCTTCTTCCACTTCTGAACCTGCTTTCAGCCAAGCTGCCTCCAGCTGCCATCTTTTCCGTCAGACAAGCCCACTCTCCCCGTACTCCCGCTAGACGGTGATGACAACCTCTGGAGATGAGAAGCTGACCCCACCAACACCCAAGTGTAATATAGTAACCCACGTTACTATATTCCCCCAAAGCGCATCTCCTTTGGGGTGGAAACTTTCATCTGACTACCTCCAAGGCAGAGTGATTGATGCCTGGGAATTCTTACACAGTGCAGAGCATTCTAGGCTCAGTCTTCACTGTGACTGCCGATGTTTTGTTTTCTGTCCAGGCCCATGTAGCCTCCCAAACGTGGACCACTCCCCAGATTTTGGGCCACACTTGAGCTCGTTGCCCATCTAAGAACACTGGCCCCCAGGGTCCAGCATCCATAGGAGAGTCACACAGCGTACTCCCTACCCCTGCCGCCCAGGGTTCATTCACTTCTAGGGTCACAAAACCATCCATTCCCAGCCTCTGAGGGAGCTCTTTCAAACATCCCTCCTCCGTGAGTCATCCCCTCATACCTCCAAAACTCTAGTCATTCACCTCCAGGATGGCCCACCCTCACCTGCAGACCAAATCATTTCTTAATGCCAAAAGTCAGGTCAGAAGACATGCAGGAGTTTCGGGGACACAAAGCAGACCTCTCTGCCCTGGAGTGAAGATGCGGGTCACAAGAAACCAACATTACTTCATTCCTTTTGCGAATAACTCACCCTCTTAGGCTACCATGTATAAAGCACCAACTATGTGCCAAACACGATGCTAAACTGGTTATCTGCATGAGATCATCTCATCCTTCATCAGCCTTATGTAGTAAGGGTTTCATTCCCCATTTTGTAAAAGAGGATCCTGCCCAGACTCTTCCAGACTAGTCAGTGTAGGAGCCAGGACTCCACCCAGGACATCTGGTTTCAAAACCTAGGCTTTTAACTACACGGCCTCAAAAACTGCATCTTTCTTTAACCCCAAGTCCCACCTTTGGCTCTCCCTAGAAGCTTCATTCATGCAGCCAAATGAATGAGCTGTTGAAATTTATACAGTGACTAGTCAACTCTTTCCTAGCTCCAGGCAATGAGCCCTACCCACCTCTGGAATCTTCACTATTCACTCAGGTAAGGTCCTCCCCTGCTCTTCCATTTCCAGCCCCCCAAAGAGAAGAAAGGATACTCTCTACCAGAGGAGGCTCATACTCTCCTGGCTTTTAATGTGCACTCACTCATTGGATTCCCGTATCGACTCCAAAAATCAGAGTTCACCATGCTTACTGGATAAGTGGGGAAACCAAGGCTTTGCAAGATCCCAGAGCTGATGCAGAACAGAGCCAGAGTTAAAAACCAGTTGGTCTGCTCTCAAAGCCTCTAAAAACAGCCTTTCCATGGACAGAGAGTCCCACGCATGAAAACTAGCTGACCTAATATCACTCACGCAGTGGTGCTCTGAGCCTGGCATTGTGTTAGTGGCCTCACATGCATTCTTCCAGCGAATCCTCACAACAAGCCCATGAGAGAGGTACTGTCATTACACTCACTTTTCAGATGTGGAAGTTGAGGCTTGGAGATGATAATCAACTTGCCCTACATCAACTAAGAGCAGGCGGGATTCAGACCTAGCTCTGGAGGCAAGAGCAGCTGGGATGGAGGGGGACAAAACTCTCAGCATGAATTCTTACTGGGTACAGGGACCTCCACTGATGAGCTTTAGGGGACCCATGAACCTCATGAATTGAATGCAAACATGTGTATGCTAATTGGGGGGGTACGAAGAGAAGATCTATAGCTTCAATATTCTCGTAAAGAAATCCCTGATGACAATCCCTAGCACAATGCCTGGCATAAAAAAGACACTCAATAATATTTGGCGAATGAATGAATGAGTAAGTGAATTAATGAATGTGCCTCTATGCCCTAGGAGACACCATACATGACCTGGTACATACATCTATCTCTATCTTTTGAGATGGTGAAAGCCATCCTGGGACCTGAGCCCAACCCTCCCCCAGGCCCTTTCTCCCAGTCCCAGAGGCTACAGCCAGGTGCTATGACGAACTCCAAAGAGATGCTTCCCCCACCTGCTCCCCACCTCCACTACTGACAATGACCCAGCAGAAGCGGGAGTTGTGCAACTCAGATAATGAAACTTTATTGAATGCCAGGAGAGGGCAAGGGTGAGGCAGGGCTCAGGTGTGAAGTGTTTGGGAAGCAGGAGGGGGGATCCGTTTGTGAGATCTGTGTCCACACACGGTGGGGGGCGGTGCTTCTTAGGCCTGAGCAATGCCGAGCAGCCTTAGTTCTTGGTGCGAAGGACCTGCTCGTGGCTGGACACCACCTTGCCGTCGTGCACGTCCACGACCTTGGTGCGAATCTGACGACTGGAGGAGGTCACTGGGGAAGAGGGCAAAGAAGGCGTAACCAGTGGGTGACAGGCAATGGAGAAATCAGAAGGGGAGGCCAAGGAGCTGAGGGGACTTAAAGGAACTGTCTTTCTGCTGCCCTCTCCCCTGATTATCTCTTCATTCACTGCTCTTGTCCCAGCACTGATATCATCAGCTCCTGGGCTCCCTAGAGTCAAGAATGGAGTCTGTGTCCTCTAACTTGGGCCTCCTAAGAACTCGGGCAGGACTGGTTCAGTCCAGAATGACCCAAATAGACCCAGGTTGACCCATGGTGGGCAGAGCCATGTCGGATCCTGTCCATGGTGCTGACCACCAGAACCATGAAGTCTGCCACCCTGGGTGACAAAAGTGAAAAGTGGAGGCCACCAGTTGCTAGCCTTAAGGAGGGCTTAGAAAATAGTTTATAAGGGATACAGGATGATAACACGCAACCCCTCGAGAATCCCCTATCCAACTCCCTAGATCTGCTGGGAGACTGGGGGTGGTCTTACCATCTCTGGACGACTGAGAGCCAGAGGAGAACTGGGAGGAGGAGAGGCTGTGAAAACAGAAAGGAGCCAGATTATTAGACACATGGGGGCAGTGAGTACATAGTGGGGGGTGTACCGGGAGGGAGGGCAGGGCGCTCACTGAGCATCCTCGCCCTCCAGCAGGCGGCGGTAGGTGGCGATCTCCTGCTCCAGCCGTGTCTTCACGTCCAGCAGGATCTTGTATTCCTGGTTCTGCTGCTCCATGTCGCAGCGCAGCTGGGCCAGCTGCTCCTCTACGCCACTGATCAGCTCCTGGATCTGAGCCAGCTGCATGCAGTAGCGGCCTTTGGTCTCCTCCAGGCT